ATTTATAAAAATATATAAAATTTGAACGTTTTAAAAATTTTTTTTTTTTTAATGCTAGCAGAAAATAAAGAGCAAGATCAATCATTAGAAAAATTATTCGTCACGATCACCGAACGGCGTAAAGAGACGAATGAGAACGCACCACGTCATTTTTTGCTGTGTATCGCTGTTGTGTGCCGCTCGGTATTCGCCTCTGGACCGTTTGGTCACCGCATATAATAATTATGGAAAAAGCAAAGCACAAATTCCATAAGATCAACGTTGAACATTCCTGCTTTCAAAATTACAGAGAGCCCTCACCAAAGAGAAAAAAATTAAAGCTTCGTTTGAGACAGCTTTCTTACTAGTTTTCAAAACAGTTTTTTAGTACAAAATTTTACTGAACTAAAAATTTTTATACTAAAAAAATTGATTTAGAAAACACTAAAAAAACTGTCCCAAACGAAGCTTAAATCCATACTAGTTTCTAATAGGTTTTAATGTGTACTATTCTGTTCAAACGTCAAATAAGACAGAGAAAATGAGTTGTAAGAGAATTAAGTGAAGAAATTTCAATTCAAATCCTACACCATTTCCTCTCCTTCAATTCCTACTAAGCAAATAGAGCCAAATTTCATATGGAGAAATTCAACAAGGAAGCCCTATGCAAATTCTCTCCTACCACAAGCAATTGCTTCCACTTTTTCATAAACAGTGACAAAATGATAAACTAAGTGGATGTGATGTTTAACAGCTAAGATCCGTTGCTTCTGAAAGATAACAAACGTAACCATATGTTTCAAGCAATACTGATAGGTAAAGAAATTTTGTGTTCATTAGTTATCAAAAGAAATGAAAAATAGAACTTACTCGGCCAAAGATTTCTTTGCTAATGAACGCAAGAAGCGAAGGAGATTCTTCTTTGATTTGTTCAACTTATCATCACCTTCCAACCAGCTTTTACCAGCATGCGATCCTTCCTGTTGGACAGATTGTGCCCGTCGGACAAGGCTGCGCAGTTCCTGTGACCATAATTATTGGTTTTCAGAGCTAAAAAATGGATTTTGTAACTTCAAAATTGTGATGATATATAAGAAGTCAGAAGGAAAGTGGATTCGAACACCACCTGTAAGAGTTCATCAAGGAACTATGATGAATAGAAGTTTGGTCAGAGTTTAGCAGAAAAGAGCAAAAGAAAGTCTTCTTTGGAGCTTTCATTTCTCATATTCAGCAATCTTTTCTCCAGATGCTGGTGATATAAAGGGAACTTTGTTCCTTGAAGTTTTAGGTTTTGTTTGGGACAACTTTTGTATTGCTTTCTAAAACGGTTTTTTAGTACAAAATTTTCAAATTTAAGAAATTTTTGTACTAGAAAACTGTTTTAGAAAGCAAGAAGAAAGCCGTCCCAAACGAAGCCTAAGAAGAATTTGTTGAAGGTTTTTTATGTAGGCAAAAGCAGAAAAAGAAAAGCTCTTTTTTTGTGCCTTGAACTGAAATTGTATCGCACATTTCATGGCGAAGCAAGGATGTTTTTTTGGTAGAGGCATAAATTATCAACTTTAAAAATACCCGCAATTTTTTTCATTTGGGTTTGGTACTTAAATTAGCAATTTTATAATTTTTACTGTTAGATATGTTATTATAAAAAGATAAATTAAATGATGAAAAAATACTTGCAATTGAAAGCGTCAGCTATTCATATATAATTCCTTTAAACGTAACTCATACATAACAAGAAGCATGGCATTGCATAAAATGCCAAAAAGTGCAGAGTTTAAGGATGGCATGTAATTAAGAAAAACCAGAACTAGCAATAGAAAGCTGTTACGGTTCGGCCTGGACCATCCAAACCGGCCCAACCTGGGCAGGAGGCGGGCTAAACCGTCTCCTTTGAATGCCGCCCAAGTGTGTGGCCCCTCCTAGAGCCGCAAAGAGAGAGAGGGAAGGGGGCGGAATTGCATAGGAAAACTATTTGAATAATTGGTTTATTTTAGGAAAATTTTTATTGGCTTTTATTAGGAAGACATGTATTAAAAGAGGGAGGGAGGCTAGGGTTAGGGCATGCATGATTTGAGTTGTTCTCTTGGAGTTGTCCTTGGGGTCTTGGGCTCTAGACTAATCTTCTAGAGATTGGGAGAGAACGATCCTCCTCTCAAGCTAAGTATCAATTGTATCTTTGCTTTATGTTTGTTTTGCTTTGATTTCCCTAATACAATCTACTGTTTTTGGGTTGATTTCGTTGGCGATTTTGTGTTCTTTCTCGCTGTTTTTATCAATTTATCGTTAGGGTTGCTTGCGAACTCAAGTATTTCCTATCAAAAGCCAGGGAATAAAAAAAGTTATAAAAGCAACGAGATCCTTAGCTTGGGCAGGAGTTAATAATTGCATCTGCTTTTATTTCATCCCATACCATAGGGACCACTGTGTGCACAAGCATATTTGTTTGTCAGGTCAGTTGCACTTTAACTACAACAACATCATACTTGACCATGAATCTGTAAGTGGTAATACCTGCCGATCAAAATCAACTGAATGAATTGAGTAGACTTCATTTGTTATTGTTGGATCTTTGCAAATTAGGCCATCAAACCATTTATCTGCCAATTCCATATAGTTTTCACCTTCCTGCTATAAGTTCAATTAGTATAATAGAATTCATAATAAATATCAATTTAATACTAGATACCTCTAACTCATATTCAAGATCTTCTTCATCATCTTCATTATCATCAATAGGCAATGTTGCCTGACCTGTAAGGTCCTGCAACGTACTAGTATTGCCATCTCTTGATGCCTGAATCAAAGCATCCATCAATTCAGGCTGTGCTTTCCGCAGAAGCCTTCCTAGCACGAAATGTGAAATGCGTCGCAAATATTATCTTTTAACATTTTAGGATAAAAAAGATTGCATAGATTTGCATGCTCCATGTGTATCCGTATATAAAAGCTTGAATACGCATCAGCAATGAGGATTTGCACGTTCCAGAGAACCAAAATAATAATAATAATAATAAGTTAATAACAAGAAAATAGAATAATGGCTTGGTAAACCAACTCATTAAATGTTTTGCATTTTAATAAAATATCACATATGATAGGTGCATCACTACTACACCAGCTAATTTGCACAGAACATGTTATCATAAATCTTCGGGTAAACTCAATGATTGCGAAAGTAGAAAGTATAGGAATTCTACTCCAGGGAAGTTACAGTATCAACCGCAATTTGATTTATAATTCCTTATTTTTAATTCATTTATGTTTAGTAAAGCTTTAGCTGTTGAACCAATTCTTTGCAAATCATTTTGAGTAACTTATGCCTATATTATCAACCAATCTTCCTTAATAATATTTTGACACTAATTTCTTATGTTCATCTAATGAATGCATTTACTACCTTTCTTTGTGCATGTCCAAATTATCTATCTATATAATATGCCTTATATTTAATAGATGTTAAACCAATTCCTCTAGAAAAATCATTAAATAATTTATCCTGTTATAAATTCATCACAAATTCTCATTTCAATTATACCAACTTAGCTATCAACAACTTTTTACCACCGAACACTCAATTCCATACAATATAGCCGTACTAATTGTAATTTTACCAAATTACCTTTAAGTCTCAATGATATCCTCCAAGTACATAAATCTTCTTGCGGTGTATCTCTCTTTAAGCAATCTAAACTTAATTCTATAAATTATATCCTTTCATTATATAACGGATTCAAAATACAACTCTATCAAACATCGTATCATTTTACCTTCTAATAATTGAGGGATAATTGTTAATATTAACACTAAAACTATAATCTACAAATAATTGAAGAGAAGTTCATTTATTTCAATAAATGCTTATTGATTAGAATTACGCTATTTGCTAAAAGCATGCACCAAGACACTTCACTATAAATATCTCCATAAAAAAATCCATAAAATTTGAGCTCATTGTTGGCCATTGATGTAATTCAATTGCAATTGAAAATTAGTTGGCTATTCCATTTCTTCTAATAACAGCCAATAATCCATCAAACATATCTATAATTACTATAGCATATATTTAACACTGTTTTTTCATTAATGTGTGAGTGACAGTGAGTCAATCCTTGAAACACTTAATCGTATGTCTTCTTAAGATCAACAAAGATCATACAAAGATACTTTTTATGCTATCAATCATTTTCCTTAGTTCTCCAAACAAAAAAATGCTTTTGCAGTAAACCTTCTTGGTAAAAGAGAATATTGATTCTTCAAAATTTGTGTGATTTCTAAAACTAAGCTTCATACTCTCTTATAACTACATTATATGCCTCATGGGCTCTCTTTTTTTCTAATAATTAACATTTCCTTGATTCTCAAAAAATAATACCAAAATGCTTTGCTCATTTGGCATCATCTTAATATTCAAAATTTCAATGAAAATATTTATTCACAAAACTGTTATTTTTTTATAACCCTCTAAATTCCATTAGGTATCTTATATGAACCACAAAATTTCATTTTGATGTATCTTCAGGGTTAACTTCTCTTCATTTTTCTAGATCAAATATACAATAGTTTTTACTCGTTTTGCTCTTCCAAAATAATATTTACCTTAAAAACTACTATTTATAAATTTCTCACAACAATATTTTCATATTTCTTCATTGTCTTCATCTCTAAGGTTTTGCCAACTTAACTTTTAATGCATCTAACTTGATACGATTCTCAAAATCTCTTATGTATATATTTTATTTGTTTATCTAGTAATTATCATTTGAGTTCCTTGGGTTTGGCTCATGCTTCATGCAAGCTAATAATTTATAAAACCCTACACTTTGACCCCCAGCATCTTTTGAGGTTTTATTATGACCCACCCATCTATTTGATTTGGAGTAATCATAGAGGTCAATTTTCATTGATGTCGTTAAATAATTTATCAATTTAGCTAAGATGATTTTCTTATTTAAATTTGAATTAAATTAATTTCTTATAATCAAAATGACCTCATCCTTAATATTTTCTCAATAAATAAGATTAGGTCAATGTTCAAAGAGCTCAAGTCACTCGTACCCTTTATATTGGAGATGAAGAGGAATAATAATATGAGAGGTGGACGAAGGGACAATAATCCAACGATTCTTATGATTGAATCTTGTAACATTTGATCATTTTTCAATAAGGTTGAGCCGCAAACTCCATCAACATCTAAGAGAACATAAAATGTAAAAGGTAGAGACGGAGATAGAGTTTTCGGCCTAATGTCATCTTGATAGAGTATAGGAAATTGTTCAAGGAGAAGAAATCATCAAAGATCATTGGAGACGGCTGTCCCTAAGAGAACGAGTGGGATGATTTCAAAATCAAAAGATGAACATATGAGAAATATAGGAAAAAAGCATATGCAGTCCTCCTTAGCCTAGTAGTTGGGATCTTTGACTCAAAATCATGATTCCACGGATTCCATGCCTAGTATATTTAGGTTTGTGTGTGAGTTTACAATTAAATTCAATGAATGTCTCCAAAAAATAGAGAAAAGAAGAGACGTATTTCTGTTTTCATTTTTTTGAAATGTTGAGTTTGATGATAATGTTAATGGAATGACCTATGCTAAGCATGATCCATATATAAAAGATCAAAGTGAAGGGTTCTTAAAATTAGACCTGTCAATATTGGACCCGACCCGAAAACCCGACCCGAACCCGACCCGGAATTTTCGGGTTTGGGTTGACCCGAACCCGAAGCGGGTCGGGTTCGGGTCCGGAAAATCGACCCGTTTGCAAAATGGCGGAAACAAGTGGTTTCGGGTTGACCCGAACCCGACCCGAATCCGAACCGGGTCGGGTTCGGGTCCAGAAAATCGACCCGTTTTTGCAAACGGGTCGGGTTAGGGTTGACCCGATTAATGCCGGGTCAGTTCCGGGTTGACCCGAACCCGACCCGTGACCCGAAATTGACAGGTCTACTTAAAATTATGAACATACATGAAGCATGGTCCAAACATGAGGGACTCGCATAATATTTGCAGCCTTTTTGGTCTTATCCTTGGAATATTATTTCTATAAGGAAACATAATATATAATAATTATTATTGATTGAATATGAATGAAATATGGTTATTTGCACTACACTTAAAGTTGCAAGATCCAAATTTGTATGTGAATAGCTCCAAGTTCTGCACACATAATTATTCCTCTTTCCCTCCCCTTCAAATTAATATCAAAGCTAGTGTTAATAGCCTCACATCCAAGTCTTGGCTTTCAAAACCTATCATCTCCAACCTCATCTCCCACAATTAAAATAGAACCTTAATCCCATTTAACTTGCCAATGTTGACCCAAGGTTTGGAATTGCGCAATTGGATACTGAGGCGTTTTTTGTCTGTAGGATGAGTCGTAAGCCTCAAGGCATGGACATCAAAATCCAAAAATTACGTAAAGTGAAAGTAAAAGTTATAAGTGATTTTTGTGTATAATAATTAAATAATAAGTTAAAGGGCCAATATTAACTTTGAATTGAACTATGAAGTAATAAATTTTCATACATATAAAATAATTATTGCACAAGACGTAAGCTAACAATTGATAAATTACATGAAATATAATTGAAATCAAACATCACATGAGCACAACAATATAAAATAGAAGAATTGCATAAAAATATCATATAACATCAAGTTCAGCTCTAAATTCCTTCTTTCAACATTTCCTATTCATCCGCCTTTAATTCCTAAATCAAGCTAAAATAGTATGTCAATAACTTAGAAGTATTTGCACTGTCATCACTAAGAGGGTCTTCATTTGAATTGTTGTCGTAACGAATTGCACTCTCCCCTTCCTCATCACCTTTGTTGTCCAATGCCTCCTGAGCCGAAAAAAAATATGCCACAGCTGCAGGCTGGCGGCAGACAGGAGATCGAGGCAATTAAGAGGAAGCTTTTGTAGCTTTGGGGTGCGTGAAGGGGTTATTTATTTGAAGCTTTAGTTTATAATTTAGGAAAATTTTAATTAAAAATATATAAATTGGGTGAGGCATACGCCTCATGCCAATGAGGCGAGGTAGGCCTCTGCCAAATTGAGGTGCATGCCTCATAAAAAAGCCTCGAGGTGTATGCATTGAGGCAGTTTTCATCAGAATAGTACTGAGACGTGTCTCACATTACGCAATTAAATAATGCGCCAACCATAACCTGCACATTAATCCCATAAACCCTATTAATCCTAATTCCATATTGTTCAAAGCATACTTCATCACCCAATCCCAACCTGACATCCTAACAATGATCCTTACACACATCTTGTAGCATTCTCACAAAACTTCACAGATCGCAAGTCACACATTATCACTAAACCCTCATCCTCGTGTGCTCACTCCATAGCTAGCTCACACTTCCACTCCATTGCCCAAACTAGGCATAACCCACATCTCCTCATCTACTTCATGCACATAAATAACAAATATGCATTCATCCCTTCTCCATCCACCACAATTACTTCGCGTGTTACCACGAGAACAAGTTCCATGTCATCTGTAAAATATCACTTCACTTGCGTCCATCTCATTCTTATCACACATGCCTCACATTTTCCAAGATCATCCCACACACTGTCTGGTCAGCATTACCATGCACTTGAATCTTTTCAATATTTCAAAAAGATATGCCAATTACAATGATTCCTGTAGAATGTAGACAATCGTCAACCCTTATAACCTAACTAAGACTTCTTCAGTCGATCCTTCAACCGCCAACACGAGTGGAGCACCAAGCACACAACTCTGATCCTGCTCACCAGTCGTTGACCTTCACATCTTGAGACGGCTCAAGAGATATCTTCTACCAATAAGGAGATTGTAACCCTCTTATATTTGACCAAATATGATAAGGTATATTTTTTGCTAATGTTAGTATGATTACACAGCTATTAGAAATCTTGTAACTCTGCATGAACAACAAATTAATTGATCTCCACCAAAACATATTAATCATGGTCCTACAACTCAACATTTTCAACGAAATTACATAAGAGAGAACTAAGTGCTCCATGAATAACAACTATATGATCTTGAAATTAATTATTTTTTGTATACTTTAAGGCACTGAACTTGATTCTTATAGTGGAAGATAGCTAATTATTTTGCATTGATATCAACTGATAATCAATTCAAATAAATGATTTGCACATTACATCATTACAGTTTGCAATCAAGACGCTCACTTCAAAACAAGTTCAACAAAATGGTGGTAAGTGATGAGAACATTGTTTAGAGATTCAGACATGTGTACCTACGACGGAATCGTAGATCGACGGCTACGATTCAGCGTCTTTACTTTTGATGCTTTTTTAAGTTTTATTTAGTTTTTTAGTTTTCCGAGTTTACTCATATGTGGAGTGTTTTATTGTTGTAGCTCGGAAGACAATTATGTATTTTTCTTTTCTTCATGTTTGAGACATATATATATATATATATATATATATATAGCGATCTTATGCTTTGTAAAAGTTTGATGAATGATTAAATGAAATTTTGCTTTGTCTTCTTCTTCTTGTGAGTGCACTAGAGAGAAGAGAGAGCTCAACATGTGGGCGAGCGCAATACCCACCAGTCATTGGAAGTGTCCGTAGCTCGTGGTTTATTTTTTTTTTTCCTTTTGCTTCTTTCTCTTCCCCACCCAGTTACCCCTCCTCCCACTCCACCGCTGGCACATCTCCCCACCACCTCCCCTCAATACAAATTAATCCCAACTCCCAAACCCCTTCACCTGCCGACCCAACCTTTCCCGTTTTCCCCCTACCCGCAACAACCCTTCCCCCTTCCCCTTGCCGCCACCCCCCATATGACTCTTCACCATTATGATGATTCCAAACATCATCATGGCTCCCTAGATTGATTCAAGCAAGATAGGAAAGTTCTAAATTATTTGAAATTCAAATTTGAATTTAAAAAAATTTTCCTTATTTGCAAAATTTCAAAAAAGGAAATATTCTACTCTCTCTCTCTCTCTCTCTCTCTCTCTCTCTCTCTCTCTCTCTCTCTAACCTAATCTAGATCCCTCTTGCCCAAGCCGCCACCTTTCTCACCTTGGCCGCCCCTCCCACTTGCCTCCTTCCCCTTGGAAGCTAACGCCTCTCATGTCTTTGGAAGCCAAAAGAAGAAGACAAGCTCTTTCCTCCTCCTTACCATCGGTGTATGGCCGACCCTGAGGTCGACCACAGTTTTGCCTACAACGCACAAGGAGAAATCGATATCATACTTTCTCCTTTCTACGATCCAGATTGGGAATGCGAAGACTCTGTGGCAGCTACGTCAACCGCATCATCTATTGCCTTGCTAAGACGATTGAGTATCAACGACCCAAAGAACCTTGGCTTCTCGTCGGCCGATCAACGGTCTCTTCTCCTCCGGCTACTTCTCCGACGAACAAGACCCTAAGCGCCACTTGTCTTGTGGTGGTATCATTGGGATTGCTTCTACCGTTCCTCCGCTAAACGCAACCTCAAGAGCGAGTGAGAAGGAACTCATGGTGAATACTACTTGATGTTACGCCGTGGATTCTTGTTTTATTGCTATTAGTCTTATTATTTTGTTTTCGTTGTTATTTGCAATTGTCTTGCTAATCTCTTTGTAACCGCTTGCGATTACTTAATCTTTTAACAAAAATTCTAAGAATTTGACTTGGGGTTAAACATAAGTTTTAACTAGCAAAGCTCGTGTTCAATATATATTGTTAAATTCCAAAGCAACTCTTGTCGCATGTAGATTTCACATTAGTAAGTATCTAACCCAAAATGATCTGTTTAAAGAGCAGGCACAATAACCCTATTAGTAATGATAAAATTCACATCTATGAAAAAGAATTTAGGCAAATCACCAAAGTGTCAATAAGACAAAAACTAGTAAACCAATTGATATGCCACACAATCTTCCATGTTAAAATTGATTCTAAAATACTTAATAATGATTTATTTCAGGTTTACACTAACCGGAATAGCATACCTATCATAAATAAGCACGAGGCCAATCCTAACTTACCAACATTTTGCTCATAACACTCCTAATTAGAGTAGTCAACGCTAAGAACACAACCAATATAGAACAACCCCTTTAGAATTACCTATTAGCGGTCGTGATCATCCCACTGATTATAGGCATGATCATACCCAAAGGAACGAGGTTGATATTCCCATTTTGAAGGGTCTAAATGACATAAGGAGATATAATGCAAATCTGAGATGAATGACTTCATTGTGTCGCATGAAATGAATTATATGCAATTTGTTGAACTTATTTAATGATAAAAGAATATCATTATTTGTTATAGTAATCTATAGGGAGATGTGCCATTTTATAAAGCTAAGATATAAGGAATTTGAGACAGAAGTAATTGTCACTCCATCGAAGGAAATGCTATACAAAGGCTATGTTGAATTGTAGAAAAGGTAGTCAATCAATTATTGATTATCTTAACCAGTTTGAGAAGCTTATATCATGGTACGAGGTTTTTGAGAATACTTGGCAACTGACTATCAAATTTATAAATGATTTTCATCTTGACATAATATAAAAAATGCTTTAATATAACCTTAATATTATTAAGGATGCCAGCTACACACTTGTTATCATATAATAGTTCTAATAAGTCGTCAATCACATACACTCATGTTGAAAATTAAAGTCTCAGCCTAGGTTGACCACTCCAACATGATAAAATGAGCATGTCTTTGTTTCCAAATCTCATTCGACACAATAATGAGGGGCTGTGCCAAAACGGTCATTCCATCAAACAATGCCCTCTGATTAATCTTTTGATTGACCAAGAAAATCATATTCGCCATGAGCCAAAAGAATTTAAAGAATGGGATTGATGATTAAACCCTAACTAAAGAGGATGTGCAACTTGAAATTCTGCACAAGTGCACGTTAACATGTATTCTCGCATCCTAGCAAATTTTAAAAATTGAAAACGCACTTGTAGCATCCTAACATATGCAACTCGCAAAGATAAAAGAAGCAAATTAATCATCAATGGTAAAATTTCCATTAATTTTATCAAAAAAACAACTTTTCGTGGATTCAAAACCAAGACCATATCATGCACGCTCCATGCAGCATGAATATATCAAATATCTCATGTTTATCTCATGTTGCCTGCGTGAATCAAACATCCCATCTCTATCAGTAAATAACATTGTTCAGTTCTTATTGATATGGATAGTTACAAAGATATGATATGGTGTGATGCTAACTCCAATGCATGTTCATAAATCCTCTTAGCTCGCTCTCTTCACTCTTTAACATGCAAGAAAGTAATCTTTAAAGTCAATGGTACCCCTATTGGTTTATTATATATTAAAATTATTAAGTTTTCATCTAACCAACCACACGAGCTTAAATCGAATATAAAGAATATTCCTAATCAAGTCCCTAAGGCTAGACATCAACTTTTACCCAATGTTCAGCCTACTATAGAGAGTCAACCAATATGAGTTCAACAAGCTCTTCTAAGGTCATGCTAGTTACTTTCGATTCCATCATACCATCTGAGGTTCCTACGTAGGCCACCACTATTTTTGCAATATTGCACTCCACTCCTAGTTTGCAATTTTGTGGTTGAAAGGCCTTTCAAAGGAGAATTAAATGTTAATAAACTATTAGATACATATGAAGAAGAAGGGGAAGATGTCAAAGGTGAACCTATCCAATCAAAAGCATGATGTACATAGTTGTGTACAATTGAGTACTTATGCCATGTGTCAGCTCCTGATTGGTTGATGCACCTTTTGCACTTACTGCATCCGGAACTAATAATTTCTACTCAATGCCAGTGTGGCAAGAAATATCCACAGTTGCCAATGAAAAGCGAATTTGTCAGGTTAACATATTCTGCAAATATTACCTAAATAAGCTATAAATTAAACAAATAAAGACCATTTAAAACCCTTCATAGACTTAAAACATTTTCATTAGCTCATAATCTCAGTTTGAAGAAAATATTCAACTCATAAACTCAGGTTCGTTTGGGACGGCTTTCTTACTGCTTCTTAAATCAGCTTTCTCCTAAAAAATTTTAATTTTTGTACTGAAAAGCTGATTTAAAAAGCAGTAAGAAAGCCGTCCCAAATGAACCCTCAGTCAAGAGAAAATATTTCCTGCTCGCCTATAAACAACATCACACAACATCCATTGCAACTTTCTAGTTCATGAGAATTCACAAAAATAGATCACCTAACAGGTCAAAATCAAAAACTGACATATCAATACTCTATCTTAAAAGACTAGTATCCGATAATTCAGTAAAATGTGGAATTTAATTATCCAATATATTACCAATATAGTTAAATTGCCGCCTCCTTCCTTCTCGAACATCAGGACCCAATCTCTGAAAAGCAAAACATATTTAATAAAATCGCAACTTAAGCCAAATAAACGGAAAACAAAACAGGCGGAGTGGCAACTCGGAACCTTTACTAGCAAAATGGCATCCACCACCTCTCGTTCGAGAGAAGCCGCCCTGAAATCCACAACGAGAAAACAAAAATCTAAAAAATACGTACAACTCAAAGGAAACGCAATCGAGAGAATAGCAATACCTAAGTATGTATTTGATTTGCGGAGGAGAGAAAGTCGAAAGGTCCATCCCCCAGCGAACGGCCCGGCGAGCCTCTTTCTTGAGCTCATTGCGGCTCTTCTTGACAGAATCCCCGCTGGTTTTCAGCCCTGCTTCATCATTGCCAATTTCACTGCCGTCCGATGGCGGCACCACTGGGCGGAGGGCATGTTTACGTATGCCGAAGCTTCCAGCGTGTGGCGAAGTGGAGAAGAAGACAATATGGGGTTTTGGAGAGAAGATAGAGAAGATCCATGGAGGTAAAGCAGATGAACGCCTCAGTAGAGCAGAAGCCGCCGGGGCCGCGGCTGCTTTCGCCATGACTTTCTTCCCGGCATATAATTCGAGAAATTATATCGCTTATTTCATGAAGAAGCTGGGCCGAAACGGGAGACTGTAAACTGAACATTAGAGTAGAAAAGTCCATGGCCTTACTCAGTTAGTTCGGCTTCAAAGATGGTGGGCTTTTCTACTTTTTAATAAAAACAGTAAATGATCATTTTTATTTTGCACTTCGTCATAAATACGTAGAAAAGTTTCTTAATTTTTATTTTGAATATAAAATTAAATAATCTTAAAATGATAGTAATGCAATAATATACATCGATGGAGTCGTAAGCACCGAAGGTTTTGCAACAAGTTCATCATATTATGATGAAGTTAGAGCATGTTATTGAAATCGATGGTGTTGTTACTTATGTTAGACGCACAGGCGGAGGGAGGGGGGCAAGGGGGGGCACGTGCCGCCCCCCCCCTGGAGCTCGATCCAACTTATCTTAAAATCATTAAGTATGGAACCCATTTTTTAGACTAGCCGTTACAGTGTTTCAAGTCCATAGAAAACAAGCAGCTTGTTGGGAGGTAAGTCCATTAAAACCTTAAATAAGTGTAAGAAATTTGCAAGAAGAAACACAACTCTTTTAGAAGTTTTGGCTACCAACTAAGATTTTTTAGGTTCAAGTTTTATTAATGTGATTTGTGTGTGAATTTGACATAATTATATATATAAACATTAAAAAAGTTGCTGCTTGAACTGCCTGCTTGCCAACATGGCATAACGAGGAAGCGAGCTAATATTACTGGCAGAATTTTGAAGGTCTGAAGAGAGCAAATAGATGATAAAATATATTTGATATCTTAAAAACATATTACTTTTATTTTATTGAATATTGAATTGCAAGAGTGGTGATATAAGTTGTCCAGAGTGATTAGAATCTTATTTCTTGGTCCATAATTAATCAATGGTTAGTTTTTTCCTTTACTCATCTCTTGTGACGCACGAGCCACACCCTCAAGAACGGCTTTGGTTAGGCCCCCCCCTGAACAAAATTTCTGGCTCCGCCACTGATTAGACAGGTGGATATGAGTTGCGCGTGCAAGTAGCAGTGAAGCCGAGAATTTTTCTTGATAGGAGTACAACTTGACTATTTTAAAGATATCATCAATTTGCCCTTATCAATAGATCGATAACATCGCAAGCATCAAGGAGTCGAGGGTCAAAATAGATGTTCCATGATTGATGGGACTTCACATTGATCCTTTTGTTAGATCAAGGCGCAAATGTTTAATTTGATATTAAAAAAAAAAAGTTGTTAGTACTCTAAATTTCTTGGAAAAATACATTGCATTTATTTTAATTCATAAGAATCACTATTTTAAAAACTCATGTGTTCCAAGAAGTCTTATGCTAATAATACTTAATACTAACCCAAACCAAACAGCTCCTTAAACTCATAAATAGTTAGGTAAACTTCTTGATTTTGCATATATTACTTTAAACAATCTCCTCTGTATATAATTAGAATATCATAAGGAACAAAAAAGTTAATATCAATTTTAGCATACAAGCAAATTCATCTTATCATACTGATCTAATAATCGTAATGATATGAATATGATTCAACAAATCATTAGACACGAATCAACTCTATTTGCATCAAATTTTAAGTCAACATAGTGATTACATGTTTGACCATCGTAACTCGCTATTGAACCTGCCAGTACATCGACGATCTCATTTATTCGCGAAGGCTATTCACTCACGAAATCTCACTACTCATTTAGAATACTTGTTAAACGATTTGGAGTTCCTAATAAAAGAATTATTTGTAAAAATCTACCTTCTAAGTTAAAATTTGCCCGAAATTTTGGTATTGTTTTCAACTATCTCAAGTATTCATCTGCCCCATAATCAATTGATTTATCTATTTATCTTCTTATCTTTTATCAAATAAGTCATATTATATCTCAAATATTGGCTCAAAGATAAATAAAGAGTAAAAAATTCAAGCATGGCCAAAATGATCTCTCTCTCTCTCTCTCTACCCTATCTTAGGCTTTATTTTAAATAGATTAAACTTTTTTATTTTAACTTTTCAGTGCTTCTATTTTAGCCATTGTTTCAAAAATGATTTTCTAAAAGTAATTTTCTAAAAGCAAAAGTTTAAAAACCAATAAAAACTAATCTTTCAAATACATATAATTTTTAACTAAAAAACAATCGGAAAATTGCTTCAAATAAAACCTTAATTTCTTTAATAGAAACTTTTTAAACTTAACTTTGGGGGCTTAATCTTCCATTAGACTGAGATCATAATGCTCACCAAGATTAATAAAATCATTATACAAAAAATAAAATAATCATTATTTGAAACAAACTTTCTCAAATTAAAAAATATAGATTGAGTTTAAGTGAGCATCATGTGTGCAAAGCATAAAGTGCCTTGCACATAATAATATGCAACGTGCTTTTAATACCATTAAATAAAAATTAAATAAAAAAATGTGCAAGAAATGTCCATCAGCAAAAGAAAGCAGAAACCAACTCCACATTTTTTTTTTACATTTTGGTTCCATTTAAGATAAATTTCTTACTAATTCTTAAAGTAGAAAGTTATTTTAAAAAGCAATAAGAAAAATATCCCAAACTAAATATTAGGCTCTTACTACTTAAAGCAAGTTTTAAGCATAAAAACTTCATTTTTTATTATGTTGAGTGATAAAAAAAAGTCCTCAAATTTAAGAGAAAATTCTATAAGATAGTGGTTAGACCTTCAATGCTTTACGGTGCAGAATGTTGGCCATTAAAAGAGAAGCAAAATATTAAGTCAAGTGTGGGAAAGATGAAGATGCTCGGGTGGATGAGTAGCTTCACTATTAGAGACAGGATACGAAATGAGCATATCCTAAAAAAAGTTGGAATAACTACAGTAAAAGATAAGACTAGAAAGAGTCGACTAAGACAATTTGGTCTAAAACAACAAACTTCCAATGATCGTATTAAGAAAGTAGACGTATTATATTTGACTTATGTTAAAAAGATATAAGTGGACCTAAAAAAAGTTGGTTAAAAATAATAAAAATGATCTTGTTTTTATTGGATTTAAATAAAAATATAATCTTCAACATAACACAACAGAACAAAAATGATTCATGTAATCAACCCCACATAATAAAACAAAAGCTTTAATATTGTTGTTTCTGTAATATTAAAAAATTCCTTTAAAAAATCACCTCAAATGAAACCTTAAATCAATTAAGACAAATTCATACTTATTATATTTATAAGATTTGAATTCATAATTTCTTGATTGGTAATCAAATAGCTCTTCAACTCAATAATTCACCATCAAAGACCATAAAATTCAGCATCGTACCACATTAATATATATATTACAGGCCACGTGGCTACTGGCAAGAGAAATCAGGACGGAGGCCCCAAACAAAAGCAAAAGCCTCTTTGATTGCTTACAGCTTAAAAAATCACATAATTAGCCAAAACCATCGCTTTGTTAGACGTACTTAAAAACACTTTTCATAACCATAATATTATTAATCTGCGTCTTTTCTTCAGCCACTCCTCGATGATAATTAGACAAATCCAATAAAATTAAGCTCTGCTTAGAGTAATAATCAGTAAGAAAATCATCCCAAAAAAATCTTAATGATAGCTTTTCAGATAGAATATCACATAAGTTCAATCACATATAAAATATCACCAACAATAATTTATTTAAAATGAATAATATATTTTCATGCATAGATTTTAATATGATTTAAATATAACTAATTCACCATTTTTTTATGATAATAAACAAGTTTAATCATAAACTGGCAACCATGCTTTATGTAGAATACATGTCCAAACCTCATATAGATAGCCAAAGCTTTCAGCAACTTACTCAAAATGAATAGTAAAACCCATTTTTGTTAAGTAATAAGAGAAACATATTAAAATGAGAATAATGACTTAGAGCTTCCATTGGGACAGCCAGAGGGTAATCATATGAGAATATAACGTGCGGAGCCATGACCGAAGCTGCGTCTAATTTTTACGAGTGTGCGTAGCAAAAACGTGGTGATGAACAATAACTGTGTTTTTACTGTGCACACTCATAAAAACCGAACAATTCTCAGTTCTGGAATCCGCACATAATAATCTCTTGAATAATCATAATTTCAATTTAGGGGATTCGAGTGCAGGTGAGAGGGGAGGAATTGCATCCGTCGATCGTCCGGCTGCAGCCCATATCTCTTTTTATCGTAGCTTTATAGTGAAGTAATAAAATTGTCCCAAAAAAAGCCTAAAAGTTGCTTTCTGTGTAAGAGCATCACAAGATAATAAAAAAACTGTCTAAAAAAAACGTTGTTCACTCCTGTAATCTCTCACTCTTTCTAATCCTCTCCCTGTCTCACAGTTTACTAATGTCTCTCATGCTAATTCAGGAAAACCTCACCGCAGGGCCAGTTGTTGAAATAAAAACAATACAGTGTAAAAGATAAGTTTATTGTTTTTGGAAAATTTAGGCCGAAGCCTGTAAAAGATCCATGGAAAGTTGCTGCAAGGGTTAAACAAACTGTAAAGCTGAGTTTCGAAGCTTCAATACAACACAGAAACCCTCCTTGACTTGTCCATCGAATTAAACGAATTTAAGGATTTCCCCATCAAATAAAACTACAATCCCAAAACAAATCGTGAAACTGTTTACCAGCACAAAGCTAGATTTAACATTTGTTATGAGAAATGATTGTAGTTCTGATTCTATAAAACTTACTAAAAATCCTACTTGCAACCAAACAGCCCATACTGATTCACGTTCAAGCAAAAAACTCTTAATTTCCACAATCCTTCAAAAAAGAGGAGCAAAAGTACACACAAAACGCAAGAAAGAACATCCCATATCAAGTAAATGCGACATCAGACAAAAAGAGAATATAATAGGAAAGAAATATAGCGCTTCAGGCAGGAAAGGCAGAATATTCGGAAACCATTCAAATGATGAAATAATTTGCTTGGCATCAATCCTAATTTAGACAGGGCCTCACCAATATTTAGCTTGAATCTCGCCAAACAGTTATTGTGTAACTTTACTGTTCAGATAATTCTGGTCTACACCTTACATCGTCCAAATTAATAAATTTACTGGAATTTAACTAATTTAAGGATCTTCCTGTTTTTTGAAAGAAAGAGACAAACTGTTTATCACTTTTTAGCAAGATTTAACTGTAGTCGTTCACCCATTCTCAACAGTTCAGCTTTTAAAGCTCTCAACATTTTAGATTACAGGACTTACTAAATGATACTTGCAGAGTGACTTGACAGAGCTTCAACGAATACATAAAGCACATCATTGAAAGAACTTATATTATACACATTCCATTGTCAAAAATAAATTCAACCATCACCAAAAATGAACAGAAACTAAGCAAAACCAAATCACATGATAAGTCCAAGCCAAAAAAAAGACAATTTCAATGCCCTTGAAGAGCGAACAGCACAAAAAATACAAGTAAAACACGAGGTACAACATCGCATATCATCAAACTACAAGACCAACCTAACAAAGCAAAGGAAAAAGGGTAAATGGATATGGATAAAACTCTCACTTCGGTCCAGCAGGGCACTCTCTCGCGAAATGCCCGGATTCTCCACAGTTGTAACAACCGCCACCACCGCCGCCACCGCCGCCTCCACCATACCGTCCACCGCCGCCGCCGCCGCCAAATCTCCCGCCGCCGCCGCCACCGCTGCCCTTGTAACAATCCCGCGCAAGATGCCCTGGCTCACCACAGTTATAGCACGATCCACCTCCACCGCCACCTCCGCCACCATATCCACCACCACCATATCCACCCCCTTCGCCGCCCCTCCATCCTCCTCCCCTGCCTCCTCCGCCGCTGCCTCCGTTGAACCCGTATCCACTACCTCCAAATCTTCCACCACCTCGTCCACCTCCACCACCGTATCCATCCCTCCGGCCACCTCCACCACCACCTCCACCTCCACCGCCTCCGCCGGAAGCGTTGCCGCCTTGAACAAACTCACCGTCGGGTCCAGTGACGTCAACAGCCTTAGTCCGTCCGTCCTCGGACTCAGCGATTACGAATTCGACCGGCTCTCCATCGGCCAGCGTTCGGAAGCCATCCGCCTTAATGGAGGACTGATGCACGAACAGATCTTCCCCTCCATCATCCGGCGTGATGAATCCGAATCCCTTGCTTCCGTTAAACCACTTTACTACTCCCTTTAATCGAACACCTTCTTGCGCCATCTTCGATCTCCCAGCTCAGATCCCTCAAGAAAAGGAAGAAAATCAGACGAAACCCTAATGAAAACTCTCTAAGATCAGAGGTGACCCTCGTTATTTCCGCATAGAGGTTTTTTTATAGTCGGGCAGGCGAGAAGATCGGTCGCCTCGGCGGCCACGTCATGAGATATGAGAACTGCGATATCGGACGGCTATAAATAAAAGATAGGTGCGGATAGCGCCGTCGGGTTTTAAGGGTTTTGAGCCGCGGTGAAGGTGAATCTGTTCATAGCCGGCAAAATTAATTGCGTCTATTAAAGCTATATTGCCTTTCACGATTTAGGGGAGAAAATAATTTATTGTTCGATTGTTAAAATTTTTAAAATTAAAGGGATGTATAAATATAATATTTTTTAATAACCTAAAAAATAATAATCTTACTCTATTTTTTATTTTATTTTTTTCATTAATTTATTGTCATTAAACGCTCTTAATCTTTCATAGCTAATGAGACATGTCATGATTTTTCACATTTTTTCATCTTTATAACTCATGTTTATCGGGTATAAATTCTTTTCTCTTAATGTTTCCGATGACTTTCATTCACGAAAGGGCGCATGCGGTGTGACTAATCATCGGTTGACCTAGAAGAGACACACAATCATGAAACACTGGCCCGCACTTGATTGGGCCCCACTTAAGAGGCGTTGCTGCTCGAGAGGAATTGAGCATGAGTTGGGGGATTTCCAATTGTACTCGCACACCAATCAAGCTTAGCAACGGTGGGTCACACGTATTTATTAAAGCTTTGTAAGTCCACTTATGTGTAGGTATATTATCATATTTTCTTAGTTATTATGGGATCAAGGTATATCCTCTTTGTAACACTTAAAATCTTATGAATGCGATTCATCCAATAATTTTTCACATGTGTTGTGTCCTGAAATATTCGCAGCCGTAGAGAAATCTGAAGCTTAGCTTCATAGCTTTATAAGGAAATTCAACACACAAACATGTAGAAGAGATTGATGCATCAATCACAAATAGACACTATAATTTTAAAGTGGAAACCCCTAAAAAGGAGGAAAAAAAACTACAGGGTCTAGCCCAATTGAAATGAGTATAATGGTATTGGTGGTTGATTATAAATGATGCACATCCTCAGAGGAGGCGCTGACTCAATGTAGCATATATACAAGGTATACAACGCATTTCATAGTCGTAGAATAGCATAAAATGTGTTCTTAAAAGAATGTTGATATGTTCTTTTTGATCTGTGTGATCGTAGTCGACGGGTGATGGTAGTCAAAAGGACCATAGTCGGCAGGCATCGGTGGTCGGAAGGACCGTAGTTTGCGGGCAGCAATGGTTAGAATGGTCGTAGTCGTTGGGCGACAGTGGTCAAAAGGACCGTAATCGACGGGCAACGAAGGTGAAAAGGATTGTAGTTGGCGAGCGACGGAGGTCAAAAGGATTGTAGTTGGCGAGCGATGGATGTCAGTAAAAAGTTTGGCATCGTTTGATAGTTGGGTAAAAGTACGGCGGCAGTCGATGAAAGCTCGATGGCGGTGGTGTCGGGGTGGAACTTCATCCTCAAAGCCACTATTTTCTTCCTCCAATTCCTCCCCTTTTTTTATGAGAAGAATGGGGTCTATTTATAGATTTTTCGTAGTGGCATGCTCCATAATTATAGAGAATATCGAGGGCATGTTGGGAGTGCTTTGTTGAACGGCTCATATTGATTCCTTTGATCGTGGAGCATTTATCAGCATTTGATTACCCAAAATAATGTCATAATCAAACAATCTTGGGCTAATTGGATTCATCTCATTGAGCCGCTCAATTATATTATAAGCATGTTATATTTGAAAATCATTTGATCATCCAATTTTTTACTTGAACCTTCCAAATGCGTTTCGGTCTTTGATTTGGACCCATTTGAGCCCGAATCGGGTTGAATTTGGTGTCGTTGGATTCGTCTTCTCTCAAGACGTTCAGTTTGACTATAAGTTTGACGAAATCGATTAGATTTAATTTGGGAAGTTCCTTACTTGAATATACTTCCAGATTTGTGCTCGATCAAGATAATTTTTTGTGATATATCAACATGCATAGTGATTCTATATATTTCATGCTCTGGATAAAATCATATGAACTTCTCTCTCTCTCTCTAGAACTACTTCTATTTGTCTTCCTCTCTATGTTCCCCACTCTACATGATAGTTAGTCGTGAAAATGTAATTATGAAGAAAATTTAAAGGATTTAAAAGAAAAATTGCTACTCCCAAAATTTTTTAAAAAAATTCTAAAAAAACTCAAAATGTTGAGAGAAAATTTTCAATATCTAGAGTAATTCATACAAATTTTGAAAAGTTGACCAAGAGATGAGTATCTCATTTTTAAGATTGTATTTGAGCAAAGTCAATTCATGAGCTAACTCAAACCTACTTCTCCAAGGAACTCATGATTTCTAGTTGCAACCCAAACTCAAGCTTATATTTTAAATTAGCTTAAGCTAGAGCTTGTTGATGCTCTTTTCATCGGCTTAAGAAGCAAGCTTGTATATACTACAGTTCAAATCGATGCCTTCACCAACAAGTTCTCGCAACTATCCTTCTTCTCCGATTATTCGCTACTGAAAGAATAGCTATAAAGCTTTTACATAAAGGGATCGAAAAGGCACGAAGAAAAAGGGTAAAGTGGTTGAGGCCTTTTCCTTTAGTTACATTTAATAATGTTACATTAATTCATAAGATTTATTATAGAGCTACATCAAATGTGTGCTATTTATTATATTCTATTGTTCTATAGCCATCATATATAAAGATTGATAACAAATACTTTAATTGATAGACAACATCTTCTTCCAATAAATATGAATCTATGAAAATAGATTTACATAGATTTCTCACAACATCTCATTTATGCATTATAAATACTCTAAAGTGGTGTTAAGAAATACAACAATTTGATAAAAATATATCTCTGAATCATTACGAATACATTCGAGTGTATTTGAATGCATGCGAGGACTCGTCTCAGTATGTGCATCGTATTTATAAGATGTAAATACTTTAAAGATATAATGCACTCATAAGCATATAAAAATATAAATATGATACAAAACGAATTGTAAACATAATTATTATTAGAAATATATAACACATACTTTTTTAAGTAATTCTTAACATATACATTAAATAGTAAAAATATGATATAATAATACATAAATGAAATACACATAAAATGCATATAATAATTTACATGATAATCTATGATTCTATATGATATTTTAGTCTTATGAGACTCTACAATCAATTCTCTAATATCATTTATACAAATTGCAATTTCCCATTTTTTTATTTTATTTGAAAACTAATCTTAAAAATAAAAAAAATCTAAAAATCATTTTCCAAACCCTAATAAGGTGTATTTTTTATATTTAGGCTAATTAAAAAACACATATTGAATTTATAAGACTTAGACTTCATTTGGGATGGCTTTCTTACTGCTTCTTAAAGTAATTTTTTAGTATTGATACGTCGTCAAAAACTTATCTTGATCAGGCACGAATCTCGATAAAAAAATCAAGTTAAAAACTTCCAAAATTAAAATCGGGACCATCCAAACTCTGATTTCAGCAAACTTACAGTCGAACTGAGCGTCTCGGAAATATGAACCCAACGACACCAAATTCGACTCAATTCGAGCTCAAATGAGTACAAACCAAGTACTCGAAGGGTTGTTGGAAGGTTCAAACCACAATTTGTGTTACCAAACGGTCTGCGAACATAACTTGCTTATCGTCAAATCGAGCGGCTCGACGAGACAAATCCAACGAGCCCAAGATCGCCGAATTCTGACTGTCTGACAAACGGTGCATGATCAAGGGATTCAATATCGACCGTCCATTCAACCACTCCCCATTTACCCTTGATCTTTCACCTATTTATGAGTCATGCCACTCCAAAAATCTATAAATAGACCCCTCATTTCTCTTGAGAAGGGGGGAAAGCAAGAAGAGAAGAATAGAAGAAGAGAAGAGAATGAAGAAGCTCCCCCTCGACCATCATCGGAGTTTCGCTGGACCACCGCTGGACCACCACATAAGACCCTCGCCTTTGCCGAACCCCCACTTGAGGCCCTCATCTTCGCCGGACCACCGCCTGATGCAGTTGCTCCGCCAAACCACCACTTGAGGCCCTCAGCTTCGCCAGACCACCGCCTAACGCCGTTGCTATGTCGGACCACCACTTGAGTCCCTCACCTTCGTTAGACTACCACTTGAGGTCCTCACATCCGACAGACCACCTATGACCCTCACCTTCGCCGGACCATCACTTGAGGCCCTCACCTCCACCGGACCACCGCCTGATGTCATTGCTATGCCGGACCACCACTTGAGGCCCTCACATCCGCCGGACCACCACCTGAAGTCGTTGCTCCGCCGGACCATCACTTGAGGCCCTCACCTCCGACGAACCACCACCTGACGCCATTTCTCCTCCTTACCACCACTTGAGGCTCTCACCTTTGTCAAACCACCACTTGAGGTCCTCACCTCCGCTGGACCACCGCCTGAAGTCGTTGCTCCGGTGGACCACTACTCTTGAGGTCCTCACCTCCGCCGTACCACCACTTGAGGCCCTCATCTTCGCCAGACCGCCGCCTGACGTCATTGCTCCGTCGAACCACCATTTGAGGCCATGAGCTCCACCAAGCCACCACCTGACGCCCGGACTTCTACCGAAGTGCTGCCCTCCTATTACAGTCTTTCAGACCCTGGTCTCCTGCCAACTAGGGTCTTACTGACCCCGGTCACCTGCCGACGACGGTCCTTCCGACCTTTGTCGCCTATAATGGTCATTATGACCTCCATCACAAGACAACAGTCTTTTAGACCCATGTCTCCTACCGACTACGATCCTTCCGACCTGCATCACCTACTATGGTCCTTCCGACCTTCATCGCCAGACAACGATCTTTCTGCCTCCAACCTATCGACTATGATCCTGCCAACCAAACAAACATGTATATGTAACTCCCACCATGTAATGTGCTATATATGATGTACATTTGTGACATCAAGCTAAGGCATTCTCCTAAGGAAGCGTCTTATTTGTAATCTACTTCAAATACT